GCAATATAACAAAGAGTGAAAAATTTAAGGGGGTCTGAATACTTTCCGTACCCACTGTATATATATATATATATAGTTATGTCCCTTTAGTTCTATTTCTGTGTTTTCTTTTGTTTTGGGAAGTGTTTGTGTGTCTCTGTCCAGGAAGATGACCGATTAGTTCCTGCAGTCTAATTGGTGGTCAGCTGACTTCTAGCTGCCTATAAAAGCCTCCTTCATCACTTTCTGCATCAGCCTTGTGCTCACTCACTGTGTTTGCCCTGCTAGTTAGTTACAGACTGTGTTAGCAAGACTGAGAATATCTTTGTGTGTTCATTCGAGTGCGTCTGTGAGAGATTGATTCCTGTTTGTTAGTTTTCTTAGCCCACTCATTCGTAATACAGACCACCGCATGTTCTTTGACCTTGATTCTGGATTGCCCGTTTGCTCACCTTTGTAAATAATTGTACATAACGCTCTGGGGAAGTAGGGAGACCAACGCCATTTTTGTTGGATTGTTTTTGGATAGGGAGGTAGGGAAGTAATTGTATTTTCTTTTCTTTTCTTTTGTGAACGAGGATAGTTAGAGGTATATGAATTAGCTGGTTTTTGTTTGTTATTTTGGCCTTGTCGAAAGAGTGTCGTACTCTTTCATGTTGTGCCCTTACCCTAGACGAGGCGTAACAAACAAACACACATATATATATATATAATATGATATGATTTAAATCATACCTCTGTGTCATTGGTAGTGTACTTCTTGTCATCAGAGTAGGAAAAGCCGACACCTGCTGGTGACTCCAGGTATAAGACATTTGCAATCTGGAAATACAGTTAGTACAATAAAGCTGGTTTGCTATAGCCAAGAATAAAAGAGCATGAGAGCATGTGACTGGTTTAAGGAAGTGTCATAGTCCAGTTACCGAAAGTGCTGTTATAGGGTGAAAACTGGCCCTGTGACTCATTTCACACCACAGAAATAACTCATTTGGTAATGCTTAAGTAATTAAAAAAAAAAGAGACAGAATCCATACCTTGTTCCAAGAATAAGGATTATATTCCAGAGTTACACCGTCATCTTGGATCTGTGAATAACCAGAGAGAAGGGATAATGCACATTATTTAATGCATTTATGTTTTTAAATATTTAACTTAAGGTAATTGTGAACCATCAGTATGATTAAATAAAGAAGTGTACTGAATTCTCACCAGGAAAGGTCCGTGTTCTGTGAGCAAACCATCCAAGGAGCTGCATCCTGGTCCTCCGTTAAGCCACAGAACAACCGGACTACCAGCCGGATCTTTCTGAGACTCAACAAACCTGATCAAGAGGAACAGAGCACAATAATGGTGGACATTTACATTCGGGAATTTTCAAAACCATTCTTAGGGTCAATTAAATTAAAGTGAAAGTCGAGCTTACCAGTAGTGAAGGTGTTTGTTATCTGCCACATTGAAGTATCCAGAATAATGCTTGAAGCTGGGCTGTTTTGAAAGTCCAGGAAGATATTTGATCTCATCTGCATCTGGAGCCCCAGAAACCTCCAGCACCCCCAGCAGCAAACACACCAGCACAAGATGCATCTGAAACACAGGAAATCACCACAGTTACTAACATAACCTTCTAACAGAACAGAAAACTCATCCGTTATAACAATCTGAAGCAAAGAGGGCACCAAAAACCAAAGGAACAACCATGTAACTGTTCATGTAACTCAGAACACTAACCAGGAAATTAAGTGTTTATCCGACAATGACGGTGGAAATCTGAGGCATGGACTGATATTATTCAGCAAAAGAAAGATTAAAATTGTTCACAGTGTTATTTTATTAGTCTTACCTTTTCAGGCGAGGGAGCCAAACTGTTAACCGGCTAGTAAATTGTTTAAGTATTGCCAAAATTCATGTGACTCCAACAAGTCACATGATGTTTTGCGTCCGCTGTGTCAAAATAAAAGCATACGGCATTTAAGCTGTCAAATATTCTAAAAACTAAGAAAACAACCTATAAATAAACAATAATTTTTATTTTCATATCCACATTGAGGCCAGTATTGGAAATACATTATAAAACACTTTTTGTGCTAATTTTGTGAACGTAAAACAACGATAGATTAAAAATAAAAGAATACGTTTATACATTTTTAATACAATTTATACTTTAATTTTTAAGATACCATGTACTTCTAAATGTATTATTTTTATTTTGTATTTGCAAGTCGGTCTAAACAAAAATCAAGGACTTTTTTTTTTTAAAAACAATTATTTGTACAGCAATCGTTGTTTTTCAAAGGAAGCTTCTAAATGTATTATTTTTATTTTGTATTTGCAAGTCGGTCTAAACAAAAATCAAGGACTTTTTTTTTTAAAACATAATTATTTGTACAGCAATCGTTGTTTACAAAGGAACTTTAGAACTGGTACTTTTATTTTGAAAACATCGTCTCTAAGCAACTCGCAGTTCCGCACAGGATCACCGCAAGGTTGCGGCAGTTTAGCAGCGGGTCTTTCATTGTAATTGTTCGCACAAACGGGACGCCACGAAGAAAATCACCGGATAGTTTCTCGGTTCTCATGGTAACGGTAAGGCTTCGCTTCCATGATCTGACAAAACTCTTCTAATGAATCGAAAATTCTAGCGCTCCAACGGCATTCGTTGTTTTAAATGTAAGCTAGCTTGTTAGCCGCCGTGTGAGTCGAAGCATCGATTGTTCTTTTCGATTATTGAAAGCCGTAGATGTAGTTTTGGTAGTAAGTACGCAATGTTTGAATCGTTCAACTGGAACACAAACGCACTCGAGTGAAAAAAACAAAACCCTCGCACGGGCGAATTCTACTGTGCGAATTTATGGAGCAACATGGCGTCTGCTCGAATCCCACATTAGCAGAAGTGTGCGCGGTTTTCCGTACAGCTTTCAAACCCACGGAATATGGACGATATGGATTTTTTTCACAGGAATACGCGGTCTCTTTCTTTTGCAGTAACGTGCCCGTTCTTTTAGACTGTTTAATCTCGCGTGACGTCACGACACTCTCTCAAAATGGCCGAAGCGTTGGTGCGGCGCCAGGGTTGCCAGGTTTTCACAACAAAACCCGCCCAGTCGCGTTTCGAGGAGGTCCCCTGTTAAAAGTCGCGTTACGGGGTGTAAAATACACGTTTTGTGGCTGGGTTCCCCTGGTAAAATTCGCATTCCAGTGGCTAAATATCACGTTATTGAGGTCGCTTCAACCCGCGGACATGAAAAACAAGTATCCCATTTCCGCGGGAAAACGACGGACGTGACGACACTGTTTGGCGATGACGAGGATATCATGCTTATCCATTTTCTCTTGTTGCCCGTTTTCATTGTCTCTACCTTTTGAATAATAAACAGCACTGTAAATATGACAGTGGAGGCTGATAGACAGTGTAACAGAGTATTAAAATACTAAATCACACGACATTTTATCGTAGCAGTTAATTGTTTTGAATATTTGAACAATGCAAGACAGTAGGAACTGGTGTGTCTTTCAGGCTTTACTTCTTGAACATGTAATATTACAAGTATTAATGTATTAAATTTTGTAATGGAGTGTCAAAATCCTAAAACATAAATGTACACCGCAAGTCTAGTAAGATTTTTAATGTGTTTTAAACAAGTCTCTGTTGTTCAAGGCTACATTTATTTGACCAAAAATACAGAAAAAAACTAATATTGTGAAATAATATTATTGCAATTTAAAATAATGGTTTTCTATTTTGATATACTTTAATATATAATTAACTCCTGTGAATTTTCAGCATCATTACACCATTTTACTGTATTCTGATCAATTAACGGCAGCCTTGATGAGCAGAAGAGACTAAAAACATTACAAATCTTACTGATCCCAAACTTTTTAACGGCCAACACTAACATGCATTTAACTTGTATAAAGACCTGATTTGATCATTTTATTTTAATTGATTTTAATATTAAGTTTTAAAACCGTTGAACTCACCCTTTGAGATTTGTTATAAGAAATGCTGTCAAAACTTTCCTATTATGTTGCACACTTCCTGTCTCTAATTTTTAAGAGTGCAGTATATAGTGTCTTGTAATCTGATTAAATATTATAATCCAAAATTCATGTTTTCACTCTCCATTGTTGGCTCTTTCAGACAGTTGATATTCTTGAGGTAGAGTCTTGTGAAAAAAGTGAAAAATCATTTAGGTGGAATGACCAGCAGCAATCGCCTGGTAAGGTGTTGAGCAGCTTTGAAAACTCAGGGTATGATGATAAAGCATTGCAACTTACCAAAATGTCACCAGAATGCCGAAGTGGCCCACAAAGACTACAGCATCTGTGAGCTCTTACCGTCCTGCTGCTATGACAAAAAGATGCACAATAACAAGCGGCCCGAGAAACTGCATGACGATTCCTTTCAGATGTGCGTTGTAGTGGATAATCAGATTTGGTCAATTCAATGCTTTATTGTAGAGAAAATATTTGATGACCCCTTGAACCATGATGTCCAGTGTCCACAATGTTGACTGACTGACTTTGGTCCATCATTTTCTTCAAGCATCGCCTTTATGTTGTGGATACCGAAGTTAGCGAATTTTTAAACTTTGGACAACTTGCAAGACATTTTTGGGGAGCATTTTATGTTCATCCCCAAGAACTACTCTTAACTACTCTTTCAGGTCTATTCAAGATTTGATGTTATCTTCAACGACGAGCTCTCGTATTTTCCGCTGCGTGCTCCGTGGAAACCCGTTTGTGGTCAGTTCTTCCAACAGGTTTTCCTTTCACCTTCACCCACATTCCTTCAACAAATACTTGAGAAATATGTTTCATTTAAAAGAGCAATTTGAGGGAGCGTCTTTGCAAGAGAATGTTGCAGACTTCAAGTGCAGCTGCAAAATCCAAGGCCTCACTAAGCCAAAAAGTTACTTTTATTTTCAACATTTTATTTGGTGTGAATGACTGTAAAGTGTTCATATGTCACTCGATCAGGCAGCAAAACACAGCATGTGAATTACACTGTACTTAGAAATTCTACTTGTTGTGAAGTTTCTCAAGTTTGTCTTTAAAGTCAACATGAAACTTCATTGGCACAGTATTTTAGGATTATAGGATATTCAATTAGATAATTATTCAATCAATCAATCTACATTCAGACCTGAGTGCTATATATTAGTAGGGATGCACCGAAACCATTTTTTCAGAGCCGATCCGATACCAAAAATTCTGAGTATCGGCCGACACAGATCTGATACTAGCGCCGTTTTTTTTAAAATCAGTGTAGAATTTCTATACCTCTGTGTGTTGACCTGATCATCACTCTTTTGTGTTGAACACAATCTACTAAATATAGACAACTTCATCATTATACAGAAAAATAACAAATTCTAAAATATAATCATAATCTATGACAGAAATACTATTATAAATTAGATTAGTGGATATTTCAGCAGCAAAAGTGACTCTAGAAAAATCACGAGTGCACAATTTTATAAAATCTAAACATTTAGTGAAAAAACATTTAGTGGGGAACAAATAAAATTGAATAAGTGTAGGACTAAATCTGGTAAAATATTACACATTGCACAAAGGGAAGAGATTGATGCGTAGCGCATTACATATCACAGCAGATTTAAATTTCAGTTACTGTGCGCGTGAAGAACAATTCATAGTGCTCTCTACTCCAGTGTTGTGATCTAACAGATAGCCGGTAGAAAGTAACATGATTTAGAAACAGCACTAAACTCCAGCAAGATAAAGTCATTTTATGCAAAACCATTGATCTACAGATCAAGTATAATAATAGGAACATTAAATCATCTTGGAGAGAGTTTCATTGTCTTGACTGTCATAACCGAAGGCGACACGCAGTTTTAATACTGAATGGAGGATGACAGACATCTGTAAATATTCATCTGTACCTCACATTAAACTATGGAATGGCTTCAGAAGACTTGGAATATAGTGCACGGAAACTTTATGGTGCGTTATAATGTTTTTGTGCCTTTTGGGGTGCTTAACAATAACACAGAATAGTATACGCAGAATATCGGATTTGGATCTGACACCCGATCGGGCAGAAAACGGCAGTATCGGAGCCGATACCGATACTGAGTATCGAATCGGTGGCGCATCCCTATACATGATGATATGTATTAAGTTTTCATGTTGACTTTTAAAGACTTCTGCGGTGTTTTGTTACTTTGTCCAGTCATGTTACCTTTGGAATCTCTCTTTTCTTACATGTCGATGCATCATCAATTTCAAGACCTTGGGGGAAATATAGCTAATCAAATAGTCTTGTAACTAAAATCACCTGCAAGCGTTCCTTGAAAACGGGCCGTTGAACCTAAAGCTCATAGAGGCATGTCGCACAGAAGAAGCCGGAGTAGTACACCACCCTTGTACAACACCAACAGCAATGACCCTCGTGACCTGGAGCGAAGGATTTTTGTTGGAAATTTGCCCACGGCACACATGGCGAAGAAGGACATGGAGGATCTGTTCAGGCCATATGGGAAAATACAGGGTTAGTAGCGTCAAAGACTTATTTAGACGTTTCGGAAAAATTTATTTTATAGTGTTCGCTACAATTGGTTTTAAATAATTTGATCCACAGTTCTTTAGACTATGGTTGCGATTTGCTGAAAGCAAGGGAAGCTTAGGCCAAAAATCCACAAAGAAGCGCCTTTTTGCGTAAAACGAAAATGATTGTTCCTTTTTCCAGCTTTGTCCCTGTTTCGTGGGTATGGATTTGTGCAGTTTGAGCGAGTGGAGGATGCTGAGGCCGCTAAAGCCGGACATAACGGTCGAATTTATAAAGGTTATAAACTAGGTAAGGTCTGATTTAGTATTAAACACTAGAGTGATTTGGGGAGTTGTTACATCACGTTTTAGAGTAAATCATAGGACCAGTTATTTGTATGACTGCAATTTTACTGTAATAACCACAATGTGGTGAATCTAATAAAGCCAAACATTAACTTAAAGATGATCCTCATGCAAATTGCACATTAGTTTTTTCTCCACTCAGCGTTTTGTGTCATGAGATTTCGTACATGTTATTAATAAAAGCTATATATCTAATAGAACGTTTCACAAATAGGCTGCATATTGGTATCCTTTGACTTTTTGAAATGAATTAATATGCAAATCCCATGTTTTCCCGTCTCACTGGTCTTGTTCATCTTGACTGAAATTATAATCTTCCTGACTGTAATTAAAATCACACAATAGTATAATTTTGATGCCATTTGTTTTATTGGGTAATGCTTTAATTTAATTTGTACTTATTTTTTAAAGAGATCCATTAGGGCTGCACAATTAATCAAATTTCTAATCGCGATTACGATTACAGATGCCACAATTACGTAATCGTTCAAAGTCCACTTATGCTATTCTGAGTGCTTGTGGGTTTTCTTTCTTTCTACAGGTTAACTTAAGTTTTTCCATTGTTTTAAATTTAGTATAACATTATAATATCATGCATATTTTTACTTTTTTTTTTTTTTATTAATATTATTTAAAGAAGAAACCAATCCTATGTATAGTTGACATTTGAGGCTTAATGCTATAGAAAAGCAATAAAAGTTTTTCAGTTAGAGTGTTTTCAGCTTGTTTATTTTCATATGAAAATATGGCATGCAGTTGCTTCAAACAATGGTATAAATGTCATTCAATGTAAATTGTGATAATTGTCATTAATAATCACAATTACAATTTCAAGGGAACAATGGACAATTATGGTTTTTGTCATAATCGTGCAGCCCTAAGATCCATGGAGTATTATACCCTATTTGTGCAAAGCGCCATTTATTGTTAGTGGTCTATAAGGTAAGATAAGAAGATCATTCGAGAGGTGTTTAATAAGTGTGTACAGCTGGGGAATATCAAATACTGACGTAAACATGATGCACAGGTTCACAAGATCCTTTGCTGCTTTTTTCACAAACGTTGTTTTTTTTATTTTTAACTGCTATTGACATTTTGGAAATTTCTAAATGCAATTTAGACAACTTGTTTAGATTCATACAATGCAGAATGTGAAATGTTGGTCCTCTCAGTAAAAGAGAAAGAAAAAACAAAACCAAAACTCGTTTGGCTCTGAAATATTCCCGTCTTTTGTCATATTGAACGTTTGGATTGGTTTATTTGCAGATGTAAATATGGCAGCGGAGAGACGACAGAATAAATCCAGGTCAAGCCCTCCCCGCAGGTAAAGTATCGCTGGGATTTTTGCTAATGAAGACGACCTCTGTCAAGAATTTTGGTAAACGTTTTTCGCTCCACAATGGAATTCATCAAAAGTACTAAAATGCATCGATATCATTGTCGAGTGCGCAAAAACGGTTCGATCTATATTTCTCGTGGCTCTTCGGTTTTTAGTTTGTTCTAATTATTTTCTTTACCTTTTTCCTCACTTTTAGTTGTGTCAGAATTAACTGAAATAAAGTTGAAAGGGTAATTTGAGTACATTTCCCTTGGTGTGTCTTTGTCTAAACGGTGTGTTACTCATTCTATTCACTTACTATGCACGGTTTTCGAAATCGTCCTCCGACAATAGCTGCTTCCTGCTGGAGCCTTCATCGACATTCCAATTAACACTCACTTAGCATTAAAACATTCCCAAAAACCTAATTATTTAATGTACTCAAGTGGGATGGAAACAATTAAAACTAATTTATGCAGTTCATTCAATTGTTGGATGTTTTATTTATATTTGGAGGTTGGTGTTTTTCTTTCCAGTCCATTCATCGTCACCACCTCAGTTTTAAAAGAAAATAATTTGAGACTTAATTATTTTGCGGTCGTGGAACAGTGCGGTTCGTAAAGTAGTTTTAATATTAAAAACTCGTACTTAAACCAACAAACAAAAAATCCTGAAACCTACCGTTCATTTTACTTACATTTGACTTTCGGAAACTAAAAGATGGACCCTGGTTTTCATGGTTACCTCAAAAAGCAATGTTTGACATCTTTCCCATATATATTCGCAGTTTGCGAAGGTATGTTTTATAAGAGAAATGATGTGAATTTTGCGACCGGTTGGATTAATTTTCGGCACCACCCTCTCATGTCTGCTCTGCGGCAACATGACTGAAACGAACTCTGAAAGTGCTTAATTGAATGAGATTTTCTGGTAAAAATAACTTGTTACATTTGCTTACAGTGTTTTGTTTTTACCATTTCACTAACATAATGTCTTTTAAGTACTTAATGGTAAGATTTTGTCTCAGTGAGGTGTCTAATTGAGCTGTTAGTGTTTGGGGTTAAGTGTTTAGTTGGCATGTGTTGACTGAGTGCATTTTGTCTGTTCAGGCCAGCCAGCTCTTACGTGGACAGTCGAGAGCCCCGTCCCCGTTCTCGGTCCCCGGTGCATGGGCGAGATTCTCGAGACCACCGTGACAGTCGAGAGATGAGGGGCGATAGCCGTGAGCTGCGTCCCGGTCCACCTCGAGAGCATGATGCTAGAGGGCCGCCCGATGAGCGACACGTGGGCTCAGAGAGCAGGGAGAAAGATCCTTCCTACAGGTGCACTCACAATGCATTTGAGCTGTTTTGCATGTTTGCATTTATATCTCTCGTTTTCCTGTGTTGCAACATCATCTAAACAACATTACTGTGCTTCCACAGAGAGGAAGGGTATGATCGTTATTACCGCGGAGAGTACGACTATTATCGGAAGAAAGAGGAGCCGTACCCAGAGCGCTTCAGAGAACCCTGGAACGGCAGGAGAGAGTCTGAGGGTTGGTTTGATCGTTTACGACCATGAAATAAAGCCGATTTATTTAATAAAGAAAATTAATTCTATTTTTAATAAGATTTTTTTTTTTAAATTGTGACCAGGGTAATTATAGTTAACTAAATCAATAAAAAAAACATTTGTTGTTTGAAATAAAATACAGGTCAACTGAAATAAAATAAAAAAATAAAAACCTTGAAATTATTTTATTTCAGCTAGTTGTAATATTTTCAGTTTTGTTTAGTTTAACTCGAAGTACTAAAATAGCTAAAACTAAATAAACTAATACAATTTTAAATATATAGATATTTTAAAAACAAAAAAGAAAATGACAAAAACAATAACTAAAACTAACTGAAATAAAGTGAAAACAAAATAAAATTAAAATAATTGAAAATATTAATAGAAACTGTAATATCAAGGATACTAAAATAACACTGATTGACAAGTTTTTCTTCCAAAGTTCTTATTGTAATGCTCCTGTACAAAGGTTTTTGTTTTTTACTGAAAAATCTCTTTTTTTTCTATTTAAATAAGAAATAGTGAAAGGCAGTAGAACAAATACTACTATGACACTTTTTGTTGTTTTTGCTTTAAGGCAGGGTCTCCAAACTCAGTCCTGGAGGGCCGGTGTCCTGCAGAGTTTAGCTCCAAGCCTAATTAAACACACCTGAACCAGCTAATCAAGCTCTTACTAGGCATAGAAACTTCCAGTCAGGTGTGTTTAGGCAAGTTGGAGCTAAACTCTGCAGGACACCGGCCCTCCAGGACCGAGTTTAGACAGCCCTGCTTTAAGGTAATGGGAATTTTGTGTGAATGCAAAAATCTTAGAAATCCTTAAAATATTTCAATATAAAAATATTTTTTCTTTATTTTGGTGATATGAAAACACAGACATGATACATGCTATTTGAGGTTGCGCTAGTGTTCTAACAGTCATTGTCAGCAGCATTGGTAATTCAGTTGGGTCAGTTTAAAGCGAACCAAAGTTTAATTTACATGCACACAGTTTTTGTCACAGAGGGAGCGGAGGAGGAGTATACGTGAAAACTTTTAAGTGTTTGGTTCTGAATTTACAGAGGAGCGGGTGCGTCCTGAAGAGCGCCGGAGGAACGAACTTTACCGGCAATATTATGAAGAGCTGCAGAAGCGCTATGATGCTGAGAGACCAGTGGACTGTTCCGTCATAGTCGTCAACAAGCTGCAAAAGTGAGTCCTGTGACTATGATCTTGAACACTGATTAAAACATCAGATGTTTTATTGGAGAACCAGTTACATTCTCTGCTCCGTGTTTGCGTGCAGGGAATATGCCGAGACGGTGGGCAGGAAGGTTCGGGATCTGGGTATGGTGGTGGATCTCATCTTCCTGAATACAGAAGTGTCATTGACTCAAGCTCTGGAGGATGTGAGTCGGGCTCGTACGCCTTTTGCCATCATCATCACCCAGCAGCACCAAGTACACCGTTCCTGTACAGTCAACATCCTCTTTGGGACCCCACAAGGTGTGTGTCCTTCCACGAAGAGTTTGAAGCCAATTTACTTGCTAGCCGGAAAAATCCAATGCAATTCAACACCACAACTACTCCAAACCAGAGCAATGTTGATAGAAGATTGCAGTACACGATTTTAGATGTTCACACAGCACTATATAAGCCATAATCAACATTTTAGATGACCACAGCATACTCTTGTTGCAGAGCACAGGAACATGCCCATGCAGGATGCCATGGTGCTGGTGGCCCACAACTTTGACTCCTTTAAAGTTGAACACCGTGCTAAAGAAAGGGACGAGTTAGCGAGGAAGGCGGCCAAGATGGCTGATGAGGTGTTGATGAGGGAACCTGACAGAGAGGGTCATCCCACCTCCGTTCTGACCCACATCACGCTGCTGTCCGAGGGCAGGTAGGTCAACAAATACTGGCGTTCAAAAGTTCGGGGTCGGTAAGATCTTTTAATGTTTTTTTTTTTATTTTAGAAAAGTCTGCATTTATTTGATCAAAAATACCATAAGAATGGTTAAATGGTAACTTTTTTTTTGTAATATGTTTCTGTGTTTACTTAATACCTGGGAAATATTTTAAACAGTGTTCACTTAAAGATCAAAGATCAGTTTTAATTTCTGTTCATTCAAATATGGAATTTTAAAAAATGTGTACAGGAGCTTTTTTTTTGCTGCATTATTGAAATTGGCATTGAAACTCAGGACATTTTACTGGTGTTAAGTGTCAAATATAATAGTTCGTCTTTGCATCTCTCAGGTTTATGACTCCAGATGAGTTGGCCAGGCTAATGGACTATCTGAGAGACAAACGTGATCGTCTTGTCAGAGGCAGTACTGACACAGGTAACTCCATTAGGTGTTTTAAACTCAATGCTGTGTTACGCTTTACCCATCAAGCCTTACCCTTCACTGTTTCTGGTCTCTCTAGTCACACACCCTCCATCAGCGACCCACGAACCCTCTCAGCCCACACAGGCTCTATCTGCTCCAGCTCAGCCCGCGTACACCAGCCTGTCCCTTCATTCCACCCACCTGACCCCTGCGTCCGCCCCTGCCGCCACCAACCAACAGCAGGAACTCCAGGCTAAGATCCTAAGCATCTTCAACAGCGGCACATCTTCAGTGTCCAGTCCTGCTCCAGCAGCCCAAATACAGGGTTACGGCTCCAGCCTCGGCCCTCAGACCACCGGGCTCCAGTCTTCTCACGCCGCCCCTTCCCCCGCTGGCGGCATGCCCAAAATCGCTGCTGTCCAGCCGCAGAGCAGCATGATGAACCCTCGGCCTGGCCTGAGGCCTCCTGGAGCTCGTATGGCCGGGCCAACAGGCCCCCCGAGACCAGCGGTCACCACAGGCACCGGGATCAACTTTGACAACCCGAGTGTGCAGAAAGCCTTGGATACGCTCATCCAGAGCGGACCCATTAACCACTTGGTGAATATGGGATCTGTGGGTCAAGGGACCCGGTCAGCACAGGGAATGGGCCAAAGCATGGATCCAGCGCCCATGTCCCATTATTCCCGCCATTATTGAAATGAATAAATCTGATACGAATTGAGAAGTCAGCATTGCTCTGAATTATCATAAATTATTTTTTGCTCCTGTGTAATTTGTGATAAATTTGTGAGTTTTATGTGAAGTCATGGTTTTCTGGTTTTACGGTTTATTAGATTTTTTTACTCTAGTGTGTTAGATGAAAACAGAGCATGATTGATTGTGTAATTCTGCATCATTAGATAAGAGAATTTCTGTTGTTTTATATGGAATTGGTGCATTGTATATACCAGCCAACTTCTGACTTAATACATTCATTTTTAGATACAGAAATTTTTGTCTCTCTTGAATTTGTTTCTCCAGAGTAGTTGTGTCCTACCTATAAAGGCTGAAATACAAGATACACAAATATTTTTTACCCCGATTTGCAGTCTGGACGCAAAGTTGTGGAAAGTCAACGCCAGTCTACAGATTTTGGGCTGTTGACAATTCACAGAAATCCATGTAGTGTATGATGGGCACAGACTGTTTTTTTTTTTTTTAATCTTCAGACTGAATTTTAGACATGTTTGATATTTTGAACTGATTTTAAGACATTTAATTTGTCATGCGTCTACTGCATACTTAAAATAAAGTTGCTTTATTGGCATTGATGGTTCCATGATGAACTTTTAACCCACTCCTGCACCCAGTCTGTAAATTCAGAAGCAAACCTCATCACTGGAAAGTTTTCGTGCAAACTCTTTTCTCTGCACTCTTAAAAATAAAGGTTCTTTATTGGCATTGATGGTTCCATGAAGAACATTTAACGTCCATGGAACCTTTCCATTCCACAAAAGGTTGTTTACAGTGGGTAAAGGTTCTTTAGATTATTAAAATGTTCTTCACACTAAGGAAAAAAACGGTTAAGAACTGGTACTGAAAGGTGCTTTAAGGGATCCAAAGATGGTTTTTCTATTGCATTGCTGCAAAAACACTTTTTAGTTCGTTTATTTTTAAGTGTAGCAACAAGGCGCATGTTGTTGAGTGTTCAGAACAACTTAAGTCGTTTAGTATACGATGCCCAGTTTTTCTTTAAAACAATTTTCAAATTGGCAAGTATATGATGCCTAGTGTTTTAAAATCTCTTCAGATTTGAAGTAGTGTATTCCAGTCTTAATTGATGGGATGAAGCATGCTCTTCCATGTCAATCTGAGTTTTTGCTTATTCATGCTGCAGAAATAACATGCCATACCGTGTGCATGTAATACCCGAGATGACATGCTATATTTTCCTAAATATATCATAAAACAGAAGATGCTACGCTGGAAACTCAGTTCACTGCTCCACGTGACCTTATATTAAACATCAAATAAATTCTGATTAGCTGTGACTGGAATTGTGCACCTTTTTCATTTTTAGTGCATTTTTTTTTTTTTGTTGCTGGAAATTATGCCTGGTTTACATGAAATGCCAAATTCAACCTTTTTGTTTAAAGGTAAGCAACACTTGGCATCTTTAATTAATACACCATTACTAGAATGAATCGATTTAAAGAAGTATACACAGTATTTCGTTTACAGAGGAAGATCACAACTCTTACCGTCTCTGCTCCAAAATCCGGCCACAAATGCTCTTTAGAGGCCAGAGGACTTCTGTCAACACTTTCATGTGACAACTTAAATTGGTTGACTTCGCACCAATAAACAAGAAATTCTTCAAAAGAACTGACTTTGAGAAATGTTTCAGATTGCCCAACATGCGATGGAACTGGGTTCAAGATTGACTAGTCAACAGTGAGGTTTACTGGTTAATCTAGACGCTTGTTTTGATATTTCTCAGCAATTCCAGTGCTTTAGCTGACAGTTTTCACAGTAAAACCTCCTCAGAAAAGTCACTCAATCACAGCCAGTTCAAGTCTTGGAGTCTCTACTAATGAGCTCATGATATTAATCAGGTGTGTAGTATAAATGATGGAGTGTTGAAGAATCGCAGGACCAGGATTGAGATTTTGAGCCTTCGAAAACCTGCTCGGAATAAGGACTCGATCATATAATCTGTAATAAAATGGTATTCGTTTATTGCATTTTGTGCTGACAAATCTATAAAATGGAATGGGAGTTTTGCAGAAGCCATAGAGATGAAGCATTTGAAATGTAAGATAAAACTACATTATTTTCTTTATGTACCATGAAACACAATAGATTATACTCATTATTAATCTTTTAAAAATATTCAACTTACACTGACAAAAAATAAACACCGCAACACTAACTAGTTCTGCTATATTTACAGGACTCACATCTGCTGCGTGTATGTCACTGTACACACACTTTCACACATACAACTGAAAAACACACGGGAACACACTAATATGACCATAAAATCCCGGAACAGACAAAAAGAAAAAGAAAATTGCTATTTCTCCACTACATCGCCTTTCAAATGTTCATACAAAATGTTTTAATTTCAAATGAATCAAAAACAAGCCTGAGGGATTCAGCCATTTTCCATGCAAAACTAATGTTCTGATCTAGAATTAATTGCGCTATCGTCTGCAAACCGTGAAATCAGTGAATTGCCCAAAGCGAGTGATTCAATAACTCACATCGTTAGCCTTTCAGAGAAGCAAAGTCAAGACAAAGTAGGATTTTGTTTGTACATTTTTCTTATAGTCGTCTCGGATTGTTTACTTCAGCAATATCTAACTTGCAGTTGTGCTGTAAAAAAGCAATAAGCCATGAAATCTGCGTTTCCAATCAAATTAGTAGGGAACTCAGTGTTTTTAAAAATGCATTTTCAGACAGTCAAATTACATGTGAGCTACACTGACATCAGTTAAAACATTTTTTAGCTATATATTTTAATATTTTAGTGAATATCCACTGAAATATTTTTAGTCCTTTTAGCTTAATTTGAGTGCTTGAAATCGGCCCTAGAATTAAAAACTAGATTTTTTTAATGAGATAATATTAATAAAGATGAAATAAATAAATTGCATAACATAAGCATTGCACTTTTTTTTGTTAACATATAGCTGCCAATTTGTGTATTTAAGGCATGAGTACAAACCGGTGTAAATGATGATTTTACTGCTAAACAAAACAAACCCTCACGTTTCTTTTTAATTCATTCAGAATGACAGTTTGCAGTAGACTAAACACATACCCAGGTTAACTTTGGTAATCAGTTCTTCTTTAAATAAATGAATACACTGATAACTGTAGTAAAAGCAAAATGGGTTTTGTCTTGGCTAAATTAACTACCTATAGTAAAAATAGACTCCTTTAACCAATCAATATTCATTCACACTAAGATACTAGTTGATCCAAAGAAACCGTTGTGTACAACAAGAACACCAAACATCTGGTAAAAATGACACATTTACAATTAAAAGTACTGAAATAAACTGGTGTGAACATAATACTGTATGTACAGTATATATATATATCAGCTTGTTCAGGATAATGTGCATGCGTTGAACAGGACAACGGACCCAGGTCCTGGCTCTATTTCAACTGGTTCAGATGGATTTGATTCAGATTTCAACATTTGGACTTTCACAGAGCTTCACACGTTCATCATTCACATGCATGAAGAGCTGTACAGTTTTCACCAAAGTTACTGGAATGTCAAGCAAAACATATACAAGCCTTCAGGTGACTTCAGAGGTAAACGTCATGGAAATAAACTCTCAAAAATAAAGGTCTGACAGTCTAACGCCTTTTTAAACTATTTTCTGGTGCTTTAAAGAACCTAGAAACCAAACCGATTTGATCTGAAGAATCTGCAGGAAACATCAAGAACTTTTTCATAGAGTGTAGGATTAATAAAATGAAGCAAGATTTCCATTTTTTTTTTTTTTTTTTGAAGAACATCCAATGGCGTGGGTCAAAATTCAGAACCGAGTTCAGACTGTTATTCAGAGCCCTTTCCTTCCCAAGATGTGTTGAACGCCTCGGTATTCCTTGGCGAAGGAATACACATGATTTCTTTTTTGCTACACACAAGCCAGGTATTCATCGTGAGATGTTGAAGAAAGGAAAAAAGACTGTGAATGTGATGAGTCCACTGTCAGTTTGAATAGAGCCAAGCCCAGCAGTGGAAGCGCTTGTTTATAGTCTTTTTATACGGTTATCACATCAAAACAGTTCTTGTAGGTTTGGAAATGACGTAGGGATTGAAAAGTTGGAGGAATGGAAATGTCAAGGAGGTGTTACCACATCAACTCAGTGATTCGTATTAGAAATATATCTTCTTTTTTTAACATCTATGTATACTCTTTTCATCATTAATTACAAGAAATGCTAGAAATTCATGCCAAATAAACAGCAAACACACTTTTTTTATAGCATAATAAAATCAATCTTCAGGTAGTATGCTACCGCAGCAAACAAAACTCTGTCCGGTCTGCGATAACGAGGCCCTACGGCCGATGCAGTACACACTCTCGCCACTAGAGGCATCAGCGTTAAATGGATCTGGCATGCTCATGATTCTGGCAACTCAATCGTCACTGTCACCATGGACGTAAATAACATTAACTCGTATAAAGTGCATTTCTATCTCAGCCACCATAGAACAGATGTGACACACACTCTAGCATACGAAGCGTGCCGATGAACTCTATGAGAAGCAGAATTGTGGGCGAACTAACAACTTAAAATATGCCATACGTACCATTTCCCGTGGAAATCAATATTGCACGTTACCGCTGAAAACAAAAAAGTTCATTTTTTTCAGTGTGTACTAAAAGCATCCTAACAAATACAACAGGGAACGACAACCCTGTAGCTACAGTGTCTTCAGAGCGATATTATGTACAAAGCCAAAAACAACGCACAGTATCCCGCTAATCTAAGTGAACACGTAAGAATGCTAAGTTAAACATTTTGCCACAACAATCTGAAAAAGCTGCCCTGACATTATTCCAGAAACTGCTCTTTTCACATTTACGAAAATCAAAATTTTCCAACACACAAAAGAAGCGTATCGTAAGTGTTTGTTAAAAACATCGTTAAGTGAACTAATTGTCGAAATGTCATCACAGGCTCAGTCTACGCAGGCAGTATTATGTTAAAAAATGCGTCGCGTTTCGACATACGTTTTGCGTTTTGTTCAGATTCAGTGAACATTGTCGTCACTTTAAATTACCACTTTTTAACGGAAAATAAACGAAATAAAACATGTTAAAGCTGATAATATAAGGCTGAAGTCGTTTTCAATACAAACGCTAGAAGTGGTATGCAATCTCAGCATCAACCCCTCCCCTCGTTAATATACCTTTAAATATTTAATCTTTCGCTTTATGTACAAGCACAATCCATATCTGTTTATACACTAGCAGCAGCATTCATATCTTATGAGAGGTTTTCCCATGTTTAAACATAAAATAATCTGTAATATCTTCATAAACTACCGTATATACGTTCTTACCAGTGACATTGAAGTTATATATACATATATATGTATATCTACTGTATATATTTGTGTTTATATATATGTATATATGCAGTTATTGGTATTTCTGCTAAAAAAAAGACTGTATAAAATAGCCTATATCTCTACAAAAATAAATAATGCAATGAATATATGATTTCCCAATTTCACATGCATAATGCTCTCAAAAATACACTTTCTGATCTACTTTTCTATGGTCAAAACATCATTTTGCAAACAATCTCGGGCTAATTTTGCATCTCAAGTCTCATTTTGTGATTTGGCTAATGCATTAGTCGCACTGCATAGAGTTCAGATTTCTGGATGCTAATCAATCTATAATGCTTTATAACAACTCAATCTAATGCTGCGTTCACGTCACATCAGAATTACCATAATTACCAAATGACAACCGAGAGTCTATTCTGAGCTGTTTATGGACTCAAAAATTATTCGTTCTTTAAAATCACACAAATTCACTTCTTGCAACAGCACAGTAACACAAAATCACATCTCAAAGAAAGCGTGCAACTGTAGCTTAAACGGCTGAAGCCGCTGCCATTTTGGATGTTTCTATATAAAGTCGTTTCCAACTTTGATATGATGTCAGTTAAAGAAATCAAGTTTCAAAGTCAGAAACTCTGAGGTGAGTGCAGCATTTGTTTAAAGTGACATTGTTATCAATATTGGTTTCTATTGACAATTCACATTTTCATTCACATGGCACGAGTGAAATCGAAGTTTGGCAATACAATCAGATACTATAATACTCTATATATAGCTCTGTAACATTTCCGGTGTAATATAATATAGATTTTGTCGATGATATAGCTAATTCCTACAGATTTGTCTGTAAATGCAACAAACATAGAGGTTTTCTTTA